TCAGCAGATGCCGGGTCCTGTGTGAAGCTCTCACGTGCTGACCTGTAGTCTTTGTGGTCCGTGAGACTCAGAGGCTCATAGCGTGTCCAGATTCACATGGCTAGTGAATATAAGGCGTGAACCATGTTTCTTACTGTTTGTTATGGATAGTTGCAATTGTTGGAGGCAATTCATTTGATCAGTGTTTACATCTTATAAACTGTTTCAGAGTGATTATCAAAGAGCATACATTCTTGAAATTGAAATAATGCATCTCTAAATGAAATAAGTAGACACAAATTTTAAAGCAAGGTGAAATGCAAGATAATTTTGAGACGCATCTCGGTCATCAGGTATCAGGTGGTTCCAGGAAACCCCAGCGTCCCTCAACCTGGTCACAGCTTTTCTAAGACAAGAGCTCACAGCCAGTAGTCTCAGCCCTCCCAGGATGTTCTCAAGCGCGCCAGCCCAGCAGAGCCTCCGAGAAATCCTGAACTAAAGAAACTTGCTTCATTTTGCTTCCTGCAGACTTCCCTGACCACGACATCATTGCTTCCACATCCCCCCTCATCCTGGGGATCCCTCTGTGCAGAACACAGGAGCTGCCTGCCGTCGATGCCCTAAATCCACACAGAGCAGGATGGAGGAGAGTTGCTTCCTAGCACAGTCACGTTTGCTTGAGGGCCTCTAAACCGTGTATTTTAGAATGTCAGCATCTCTCAGGCGTTGCTCTCTATTGAGTAATTACCAGTGAGCCCCAAGATTGACATTCTTAAGAATTCAAAGTTAGGGTTCTCTTTGCCCTGTCTGGCTTAGCAGAATGCAGGCAGAGGAAGCAACACCTGTCTTTAAAACCACCCACAAAAAGCAGAACTTTTCCAAACCTACAGTAACGTGTACTTTTAAGGACAAAGCTGGATTTGAAACGTGAAGTTGATGGTGACGAAGCCAACAGGCTGAGTTGGAGTCAGCATCGTCTCCTCCTGCATCCCCCGTCTGGACCATTCCCAGATGCTGACCAAGGATCGGGACACAGACCGAAGGTTATGGATCATCCCAAAGCACCTTCCTTTTATCTCTGGCTGTTGATGCTCATCTGAAGCTCCTCCTTGGGGTGGGTCCACAGGTGTTTCTTCTCTGTCGGTAATCAGCGAATTCCAGGAAGAAAGCACAAGCGTGAGAAAGGCCGTGATGGGAAAGACAGCTGTGTCTGCCCCAAGCCCGTGCACTCCTTGGGGGGTTAGAAGTGTCCCCCTCATCTCCGCCTCCCTGTCACACAGCCTTTCCCCACTGTGGATCTATGTCGGGGTCCACATTTCCCTCCTCTTCTAAGGATGTCATTGGACTGAGAGCTCGTCCTAGCCTGTGTGACCTTAACTCGACCACATCTGCAAAGACCCTATTTCCAAATAAGACCACATTCACGGGTTGCAGGTGGACATGGATTTGAGGGTACATGATTCTACCCAGTACAATGGCTAAGAAGAAAAAATACCTTTTCCAAACAGCTAATTGGCACCCACATGACACGGTGATGGGTCAAGAGTCTGTTCAGAGGGCACTGGGAGGCTGGGAGGCAGAGGAGCCAGGAGGGCCCCAAGGTCCTCAACAAGAAATGCTGTACGGAGGCCCATGGGTCCAGAAAGGAGGAGCCTGGAAGAGGGGTTCAGGGGAGGTCCCCTCAGTGAGCATGGGGCATCAAGGTCACTCCATGCACACCAGCCTCTCCCCCAGCATGGCACCGTGAGGCCCCGTCAACTCCCCTTCCCGTGGGGCCCACAGCACCTCTGTCCACGCTGCGGCTGTGAGCAAAGCCCAGAACGTGCACGAAAATCCACAGAGGGTCACCGCCTACTGCACACACGGCGCTTTCCTGCAGTGAATCAGCTCTATATGGACACTGGATGCATTTCAAGAATTTGATTTCCAAAATTTGACTTACATCAAGAAATTCCTAAAAATAAATTCATTACCTAAAGGAAGATGTACCCCAAATTAATTCCTTGTCTGTGAGTGCCCTTCAAATCATTCAGCTTAATTCCTGGTCCTTACTCCATCTCAGAGGGGTCTGTGGAAGTCTGAGCGACAGTTCAGAAATCAGTGTTACTAGTAAGTAGAAAACTGGCCTAGAAATAAAACATACCTCAAGGAAAGAAAATACCCATTTGGGGTTGAGGGTGTCATTTTGTCATATAAACACTTTTTTTTTAAGTGTGGAACAATTTTAAAGGAAGAATGGAAAGGAAACTTAAGTATGGGACAATCTTGTGCTACATCATTTGAAGTCATCTCAAGATCTTAGAAAGAAACATTTCCACTGTCCTCTATGCTGGTCATTCTGGGATCGTATCTGGAATATGATGTTCATTCTGGGATCACAAATTCAAAAAGGGTGCTGACATCCAAAACACAAAAGAAAAAGAAGCCAGAGAGTTTGGTGGAAACAGCCAGGGTGGTGAGAGTCGTGAACATCACTGCAGGAGGCAGGAAAAGCCGTCCTCGGCATCGAGCTCCCTCTTCCATGCACGCCGCCGCTGTCCGCCCAGACGTCACACAGGAACTTGGCCTCAGCTGGCGTCTGGACTTCATGGTGCATAAAACTTTCTTTTTAAAATCCTAAAACTCTAGATCTCAAGGAGGGTTAATAATATTCCAATAAATTTTA